ATCCAGCCATGACTTCCGTCTCCAGGCATTGCCATTGTTTCCAGTCTGACTCACAACTTGAGAAGCCAGAATGGAGTTGGAGACAGACTGTATCTAAGATCTGATTGTTAGCTGCCCATTTTAAAACCCATTCTAGTGGGGCGCAAGCACTCAAAATGCTTAAATCCTGGGTTCTCTTTGACGAGTAAATGTACACAATAAACACCAAAGAGGCGCTTGTTCCTTCGACTCAATCTTGAGGAAACTCAAGGTTTCACCCTCATTGTTATCTCAGTTTGTTGCACAAGAGTTCACTGATTTTGAAAGGGAGCTGGTCGCTCACCTTGGGTAATTTAAAGATTGCTGAACATGACTTATTCTGGGCATGTCCTCCTGTTTTTGAGGCCAGGTTGGCCTAAAGACCTGCACAACACAGCAATTTTTGTCATAATTGGTGAGTTGTGTTTATGTGTTTTAGAAAATGGTGTTCTGGGATTTGGTCAGAGATGAAGTAAAACTTTTTAACAGTGAAGATTTTAACAGTGAAATTAACGGTATACTTTCTCCCTCCGTCAGACAGCTCTGGAGGATAGACGAGCCAGCGCCTCAAAAAAGCCGAAGTAAAGAAGCAGCAAGTGAAGAAAACTTGGAGTCGGAGTCTGTGCTTGCTCTCTTTTTCTCTAACCTTCAACGCGTACATATGCGTGCAAACTCAAACGCACACACACACATGCAGACGCAAACACAGGTATACACACACACAATGAACACACACACACTCACTCACTCACTCACTCACTCACTCACACAGCCTTACCCAACTCCACTCTGCTCATGTGTGAAATGAGCAAGGGTCTTATCTCTTGGAAACACACCACTGAGCCAGAGGAGAAGTAGAGAGAGGGAGACACACAGTGGGAGAGGAGGGAGGAGAAAGGAGGAGGAGAGGGGGAGATAGATTGAGAGAGAGAGGGAGAGAGAGGGAGGTATCACGTGGTGTGCATGCTGATGACTGTGGATTTTTGGAATCTGCTGCAGACTCTGGAGGTCTCGGGCTGAGCTATTATCAAGCTTCTGTTCCTCCATTACACCCCTTCACTGACCTCTGCAAGCTGGCAGCACGCTCCCCACACACACACACACACACACACACACACACACACACACATACCTTTTTATCATATGACACTGTAGTTTGATTAGAGAGACGGTTTCAAGACAGACACATGTACAAGAAATGTCACAAGAGGTTGAAGGGTCAAAGCTTACTGTGGGTTATGCAAAACTCCAGCTGAGCGAGAAAGGAGCCTAAGGGAGACTTATCTGAGAGCATTGTTGTTGCACAAACTTGCCAGATTTTTACACCAAACACAATCCTTTATTCAGACGAGAAAAATCCCTGTAAACAGGGGAAATGTGTCCTGTTTCCATCACTGTGAAGTAGATCAACTCCATATGCATGCTAATCCTTAATCTGTGCAAAAAAGACAAATACAGACTTACATTTCTCTCTTGACACACCAAGCAGACGCCAAAGAACTAGTGGCAACGAAGGGCGACTATGGCGACGCCTCAAGACGCCTTTTGTCTTAGCCAAAAAGTTGCACTTGAACACATCACAAAGATTACAGCCGACAGCCAACCGCCACATATGTTTTGCCAACCCGTATGTGAGAAGAAATAACTCTCCATGCCAGCAGGCGGCAGTAGTCCGTTGTTATGATACGAGAAGACCATTTTCACACTGCTGTCGCGCACCACTCGTATTATAGGTAGCCTACTAATCGAGAATAATGTCTGATGAAAAGTTGAAAATGGCGCTGGCGTTGTCAGTCCTTGGTCTTTTAGTGGAAAAAGAAAAGAAGAGGCAGAGGCGACAAATATTGAGAAACCGCACTAATGGGTGAAAGCATGGATACTACAGCAGCATGCTCAAGGGGGTTTTCCTGAACCTGTGTCGAGAGCTGGAGATAGATGAAACCTCCAAACAACCAATCAGAAAGATGCTTCTCACCAACGCGCTATGAAAAAAGGCTGACAGGTCGCAACAGAGCTGAACACACCGCAATAACTCGGGTGACGACCGCTCACCGACGGTCCAACTAATTTAACCCTCATTGAGATCTGTGAAATATAGCTCGATGATCGTGAACAGAACCCATTGAGTTGATATTTTTTAATTTATGTAGTTCTGTTATTCAAAATACATGTTTTTTTTCTGATAAAAAAACTATCCAAGGATAAGATGAAGATATTAGTCAAAATGCTTTAACAAAAATAAAACATTGAACGAACCATTATAGAAAACATTCTGTGTTGGTGGAAAAGGGGAAGACTATAATTGCTGGCTTTAAAAACACACCACCTGCTAGGCATCAAACAGAACACTGACAACTTAAGAGACTAGTTGGTGAACAAAGTGAAGCATGTAGCAGCTAAGGAGACTGCTGTTTCTCTCAGGAGCTGGCAGAGCTAGACTTTGTTATCCGGGTGGCCCAACTGAGCTACAGACTGATGCAGGGGTGGCCTGAAGTGTTTGCTCACACGCACACATAAAAGAAAATAACTTATGTAACCTCTCTATTTCCACTCATAATATCTACTCTTACTTCTCTAATACAGGGGTAACATTTCAGCTTAACTGTTTAAGGACTTAAAGGAGCAATATGTAACTCTGACACCTGGCGTTTAAAACGGGTACTGCAGTCAAAAAGAGATCTGTCGATGTGCGCGCAGGTTGTCGTGTCACTGACACTGAAGCTTCAGTGTTTAACCAGATCTGCATTGGTCTTGTAACCTTTCTGCTTTCTAACATCTCTCCATCTCATTAGAAACATGAAGAGGTTTTTATGTCGAGTAGAATCAGTTATGTCTAAACCAGTTTGCTTGCCCGCTTCCATCGCTGCAACACCTGTCGGTTTGCCGTTTGCCTGGCAAACCTAGGGGCGTCCAAAACGGCCGTGTGGGATGCTAAAAAAAAACACACACACCTTCTCTGGTCAAAACAAATACAGTTACTGGCCAACAAACCAGCCCACCTTGCGTGCGCCCTATTGGCTGATACACACATATGTGGAGGCATTTGATTGGTTGTCCCTACCTTTTTGATTTTTTTTTTTTTACCTTTCCTTCAATTGTGTATCCACCCTATTTAAATTATGTTTGTTAATCTGCTTCTTGATGACCCTGATGAAGGCCACGAGCCGAAACGCGTCGGTCTAAATTGTTAATAAAGTTGATCTTCTCACTACAAGTGTTGCTGGAGCAATTTGACCTCTTCAAAACAAATACAGTCACAGGAATTGAGAGTTAGTTTAGGTGGAGGACATACTGGCTGCTGCAGTGCACATAGCCAAACAAAGTCTAGGACCTTGGGGTGTCCAATGAGATTTCTAGGGTGGCCCTGACCCCTCGCTCCTGCCCTGAGGAGCTGACAGAGATCAAAAGTGGTAAAAACCATAAGAGTGTCAGCATATACTGTAAATTCATTTTTTTTGGATCTGCTTTTGTTCTGCTTTTTGTAAGTATATAACGTACATTCATCGGGTCTTTGGAACCACAACTTCAAATACAGTAAATAGATTAAAAAAAACAGATTGGCTCCTGGATGTGTTAAATGAACCACGTTATATAAAGTTCTGTTTTTTCAGGAGAGGTTGTTGTTTGGACGGGTAATTTACTGCATCAGTTATCACCTTCTAAATCAGGTGTAGGATTGTTCTTGGCTACATTTATATGAACTTTTCAACAGGCCTTTTTTTCCATCCTCAGTTGCTGAATGAAGGTTAAAAAAAAATCGTATTTATTTCATACTGGCGTCAGTAGAAATCCTAATTTTAACCTCATGATTCAATTTGTATTAGCTACCGTCTCTTTAAGGCCCCCCTCCCAATGTGCCCACTTTCTTCTGATTGGCCAGCTCTCTGAAAGCCTTCTGTGGGGCAGAACGCTGCAGGGCTGCCAGGAGAGGCTTGAAGATTTATCCTGGGATCACTTTTACCTCATGATCTGAAACTTGTCCCACGTTTATGGGTGTTACGGCTGCATGTTTCCCTGTGCTGTTTGTCCCTTCTTCCCTTCTGCTGTGTTCAGCTGGCCCATGTAAAACTATAATTACTCATCAATGTGCACCTGGCCTCAGTGCTTAAAAACCCTGGGATTACTCCAACATCAATTCAGCTCATGATCTGAAACTTTGCCCACGTTCTGCATATAGTTATATATATAGATCTGCAGGTCAGAGAGACGGCTTAGTTTGTTGTGTGATCATAGAACTCTCCTAAGATCTCCTGTAGTTTCCCTGACACGGTAAGAGGAAGCTGACATCTGCAAACTGTGTGATTGTTGTGTTCATGTTGTTTGGGTCACAACCTCACAGATTTGTGAGTCAGGAGTTATTCTGTGCACCTCCACCTGCATGAGAGCTCAGGAGCCAGAATAATCCCCACTTTTTTCCCCATCCACTTTTTTGTCTTCTACCACACGTACTCTGAAGATGTTTGTTTTGCATCTGAGAGTGGTGTCTCTACAGTGTGTTTCCCCCCCCTGCTGTGCTGAGCGCCTGCTGTTTCCTGAGTGCTACGGATTTTAACCACAGCCTGCTCCACTATTGAAATTGGTTAAACAGAAACTTTTAAAAGAAAATAGACACCCTACTGAGGGAAATAACAGGGAGGAATCATTAAAGAGACACATGGGAGTGATGTGGGAAGCAAAAAAATCCAGATGGGAGCCGGAACAAAAGCAAGCAAAGTTTTAACCTTTAGTTTGACACATGCTAAATAAAAGCTGTATTGCTTAAACAATTCTGGTAGCCAATCTCTAATACTTGAGTTACTTGGGAAGAAAAGACTGTGGCTAGATTATGAAAGCAGGGCAGCGTCCGAGGGGCCCAAGGTATCAGGGGGCCCTCAAACCACAGCCTGTGACTTGATTTTTTAAACATCAATTAACAGAAACGATGATAAAACTGTCTCAATGTGTTTCTTAATAGTTCTTTAATTTATCACAACAACATATAATAATAAAAATAATGCATTTTATTTAGGGGCTTTTCCCGTCACTAAAGGTCACCTTAGACACAGCAGGAAAAACAAGAACACAATCAACTACATGGAAGCAGAAAAAACAAAAACAGCAATAGTGAGAAGGGCGTGGTCAGACAGAATAAGATAATCTAAAAAGGTGTGTTTTGAGCTGTGATTTGAAGGTAGGTAGTTGCCTATGGTTTGTGATAGAGAGTTCCAGAGACGTGGGGGCTGCACGTCTAAAAGCTTGAGACCCCATCGATGATAGGCGGGCAGGAGGTGTGGTGAGGAGCATGGAGGAGGCAGAACGGAGGGTCCGAGAGGGTGTGTAGGTGTGAAGGAGATCAGAAAGGTACGGAGGTGAGAGGTTATGGAGAGCCTTGAATGTGAGAAGGAGAATTTGAAAGTCCATGTGATATTTGACAGGGAGCCGGTGGAGTTGTTGAAGGACTGGAGTGATGTGTTCGATGGAGGAGGTTCTGGTGATGATCCGGGCAGCTGGACCAGTTGGAGTTTATGCAGAAGCTTGAAAGGTCAGAGATGAGGGAGCTGCAATAGTCACTTTTCATACTGTATAACTCTCTGGGGCCAGGCCAACCAAACGACAGTTAACACCCATCAGGTCATTACATAAACAGGCACTGAACATAATGGATCAGAAATCAGTCAAATGGCACCTTTGGCTCATTCGAAAGAAAACAACATACTGAGTTTTGACAGTTTTGTAAACTTTTCTTTTTCAAATCTGATTTTTAAATGTGTGAACGACCTCGCTCCAGAAACAATCTGTCAGCTCATGAGAAAACTGAACAGCGTTATCAGAAGGGCTACATCAGGTGGAAACTTCAGAGCACCAAAATACAGACTTAGATTTGGTCAGTCATCTTTCTCACTGAGAGGAACACACCTCTGGAACACATTACCATCTGAAATTTAACAAACTGAAAGAGTTCAAGGTTTTTAAGACAGAAGAAGTGAAACAGAGGCTGAAACTGAAGCACAAGTGTGTGAGCACTGACTGTTTCCTCTTAGACTCCTCACTTCACTGTTTGGTCTTAGTTAGTCTCTTCTTTCTGTTGAGTTTATAATGTCTCTATTTGTGTAGCATCACTGTGTCTGTATTTCTTTGTTTTTGTTTTAATCCTCAAAGCCGAGTCAGAAGCAGGTGTTGCAAATAGCCACGGCTGGAAACCTGAATGTATTGTATCTACTTTGTGTTTTACATATCAAGCAATGTTTCACTCCACATGTCCAAAAAAACAAGTATAAAGACAGAAAAACTCCAGGGAGACGCAGAATGAGAACAAAAATGTACAAAACAACCACAGAAACACCAAAACCGACTAGCTATGGAGCAAAAGAAAAGCCTACAATGAGACAGATAATTTACAGTTAAATATGGAAAACTGAGAAGAATGAACAGTTATATTAGCACTGTGATAATTGCATATTTTAAAGGTTATGAAATGCAGCTTTGCATATTCTCTAGTCAGCATGCAGTCTGGGAATACAATTACAGATGCATCATGGGGAGTTATGAAGAGAAGCAAACATGGTTTAGTCCATGATCTAACAAAATGCAAGTAAAAAGCACTGGTCAAAGCCAGGAGCATGCTGAGACTCAGGTTTTCCCAACACATATGCTTCCATTGATCTGCACATCTCTCCTTCCCTCCCATTAAATCATGTCTCAGTGTGATTTCTGCTGAGGACCGGCTGACTTCTGCAGGTCTCTACTACCACCTTGTGATAAACAGTTGGTATTGCAATGTCAAAGAAAATGTTACTCTGAATTTGCTTCCACAACAATCACAGTGGTTGATTTGATGGTTTAACGACTTAAATCAGTTCTGCACAATGATGAAGAATAAAATGAGTACTGAAGATATGGATAAGGTTTTCTGAATGATTTATATCTGGCCGCATTCATAAACATTAAAGTTACTTAAGAATGATTACGCCTGTAAAGGGAAAATTCAGAAATTATTCTAAAAAAAAATTCACTTCACTATTCTACAAATTACCCAACCTCTTACTTATGCTTTATCTTAATCTATTTTATAATCCTCCCTTTCAACAAGTTGAAATAAGTCTCAGAGCTCTCTATAACATGTGTGTGAAGTTTCTTGTTCTAAATCCGCTCTGATCCTGTATTTGATCATGCCTATAAACCCCTCTATTTCAGCCCTGCTCAGAACAGACTGTTTCTGTGTCTGTACCTTTAAATATGTAAATGAGCTGTGTTTGTGTATGAGCACACATTTTCAGGAAAGTGGAGCAGGCAAAAGAGTGAGAGGATGGAAATCAACAGGAAATATTTTCATAGCCAGGTATGTACTGGGAGAAGCTGTCCATTGTCAGACAGAGGGACTTAAACTCTGAATTAGAATTTACATTACGCATCAGCCACTCTTATGCTGAGCAATCATAAATGGATGCTCTGCCAAGCAAAGTGTGATGTATAGTTGACTCAATCCTTTGTGCTTACAGATGATCTGTGATGGAGGGTGTCTTATTACAAACATTGAGGCAAGATGTCTCTGTGCATGACTCCAGAATCTTCCGAGTATCCTCACTGGCACGGAGGTCTGCAGAAGACAAGAGAATTTGATTTCAACCAAAGGGTTTTCACTGAAGTTACATGTATATTGCATGGAATCTAATAAAGGGAAAGGCGTTGATGTCATCTTAATTCAAAGTGCTCTAACTAAGATAACTCATTAGGCACACACTGTTTCAATTTAAGTTTTAATACATGTAGGGAATTTCTCATGTACTTTAATATAGAATATCATGCCCAGTAAGAGGCTATGCCTGCATGTCATTCCTGTTAACACCTTACCCTGATCCACAAAGAGGCAGAGGGGGCCTTTAACAATGCCCACACAAAAACAAGGGCAAAGATAAAGATGACATATGGACTACTGAAATCCAGGTTTTAAATTGAGATGGATCACTTTTACACATTTCTTGCAGGGTAACCTTTTAGGCCATGCAGCAAATCTTTCCCTGTTTAAACCCTACAGGTTCCAGTTCCCCTCACGTTGACTCATTTGATCGTTTTGTCATTCATCCATTCATTTGGGCTTCTTATAAACCTCAGGTGCGTGCACAAAGCGAGGCTATGCGAGCCTGCGAACAGTTGGTTCTCGAGACAACCCATGAATAGATGAGTGTAATCTGGCGCAGGCTTGGCACCCATCGCAACACCCTGCATTTGTAGAAAACATCAGTTTCAAAAGGAAAATCATTATTTGACAAAATCAGATTTAACATGTCAATTAAGAGTTGTACGGGAGGTATCAGGTCATCTCTGCTATCTAAACTCCTCAAAAGAAGTTTGAAAATGCTATTTCAGTCAATTATTTTGCCCCTTTAATAATACTAATTGGTGAGATTTTTTCGCACATTTTTTGGGGCGCTACCCACCAATTAGCTGTGTTGCTCATTTCACGAATGCACGATCCTTACATGTTATACCTTGTTAAAGGTGACAAATCAGGCTTTCCAACGTTATATAATACAACACCAATTAATATTATAAAAGGGGTGAAATATTTGACCGAAATAACGTTTCCAATTTTTTTTTGGAGGAGGATTTGAATAACTGAAGGGACTTAAGTCCATTGGAATGAGGAATGTTGATGTACAGACTGGTAACATCTAGTGTTGACCATCAGGAATAACATGTGCTAATTGATCAAGAAAACCATCCAATTTAAGGTAATTTCACAACGATGGTCCTAGGGCATCAACAAAATTAGAAAGGGGTTCTGTAGGGACCCTAAACCTTTAACAAAATGTCTACCTGGTACATTGATGAGAGATTTGTGGACTGAAGGGACTTCAGTATTTATATCACATCATCATTCTTATCTTAACAAGTGAATATAACCACACTGTCAGCTGCTGTCTGTTTGTGCTCTGAGCAGCCCCACAAACATCACATCGCTGTTTTTCTCACAGCACCTGGAGCAACAACTGTGACAGAGCATTACAGAAGCCTGAACAGTTTTATCATATTTACCCACAGGCGCGTGCGTTTCACCAGCCTGACATGAAAAAAAACTGTTTCTGTTTAACTGTCCAAATATGTCTACAAAGCCATGATGAGTGGAGTTAATGATAACATCAGGTTGGCTGCTGGTTGGTCTAAAGGCACTTTTCCTCTAACACAGACAGTAGTGTTACATTGGTGTGACTTTCATTAGATTGAAAGTAATTGCTGTACAGTATCCTTTTTCAATGTCCTTTTTTCATGAACACAGTAAAAACAGACTCCTTTAAGAATTCAATTGTTAGGTTTTGGTTTCATTCAAACCCCTGAGCAGAGCCTGGCACAGGTCAAAAAAAAAAAACAATATTAACAAAAAGAGCAGGCAGTGGAGGCAGGAAGTTGGCTGGCCAGAAAAGTTCTCCTTGAGACGATAGGAAAACCCAGACACTGAGACTGGTGAACAGCGAGGCACACCGGAATACATGAGCCCCAAAAACACACAAGAGCAGCAAACATAAGCAGCTCAACGACACAAAAAAAAAAAACACAGAACGCAGAGCACAACCGAACGAGACAGAATTATCTGGCAGAGTATAGTGGAGTGAAAACCAGGGGTGCGTTCAAATAAGTCTTTTTTTCTTAAGAAGGTTCCTAACTGAGTGAAATGACCCGGAAGCATCTAAGTGGCGGCCATGATGAGAGCTGTTCGAGTTCTCTAAAAGCTAAGGAAAAGTGAGTCAATGCTTCCTTTATAACCTCCTTTAGCGTAGAATACACTGGACCATCCTTTACCAAAGGAGATGAGATATGCCGTCCCACAATTCCTTGCGGCCGCAACATTTAAAGCGAGTCGCGCATCCGACTGTTCAAGAAAACCAACAACTTAATTCACTTGAGAATGTTTTGTGCAGCTGTACATTAGAATGCCAAAAACATGACGTAGCCTATATCTTGCAGAAATGTAACAATTCATTTCATGCAATCACACTTACTTTGGATTAATGTTGATCTGTGAGTGGACAGGAAGTCATTAACCTCTGCCGTTGCATATTTATGTAACCTAGTAGAAATGTAGTCGGATTGTCAAAACAACACGGCCACCTTTCCCCAAGTCCTTTATGAATTCTCCTTAACCTCATGATGTTTTCCCCCGGGATTAGGTTCAGGAGGATAGTGAAAGGGGATAAGGGGGACGATCTGAATCCACCTCTGGCTTTTATAGTCAAAATGATGAGCTGAGTGGAACCAGGTGAGCCTCATCTGCTGCTCAGAGTAGAAGCCACCCACCCCCCCCCTCATATACCTGCAGGAGAAAAATACAGAAAGGGAAAGGGGAGAAGGAGAAAGGGGAGAGAACAAACACAAATAAAGCCTACAACAAACAGAATCGTCACATAAACACCTCAACAGCAAGCTGCTCTAAAACTGAACTTTATAATACAGTATTTTTGTGGCTTAAGACCGCCAATCTGGGGCGCTTGTGACTCTGTGGTTAGTGTGCGCACGCCCCATGTATAGAGGCTGTAGTCCTCCAAGCGGTCAGCCCAGGTTCAGATCCGACCAGTGGGTCCTTTCCTGCATGTCATTCCCCATTCTCTCTCACCATGATTTTCTACTCTATCCACTGTCTATCTCTCCAGTAAGGCACACAATCCCCAAAATAAATCTTAAAAGGCTGCCAATCTTATAAGAAACATGTTGCGTCATATCCACCACCACTACCTAATAGGTAGAAAAATATATTGTATAACTATAGATATCTGTCTTCAGACTTACTAGGGGACAGTCACATTATTTTGTAACCCGAGCAAACTTTCTATTTTCAAACTCAAATATACTACCCTCTTTTCTATGGATAAAGGTTTTTGTATAATATCTATAGTCGAAAACGATAGTGATCCTTAAGGAGACAACAGATTTTCATCCCTATGGAAAACTGATACCATCCACTCAGGCAGACGTGTCTATGTTGTATGTTCCCCCCATTCCCTCAGTCATTCAGACAGACCATTAGGCCCCATTATCTCCGACCGGTCAAGCTCTCCAATGAGCAATAGAAAGAAAAAGGACCAGCAGCGTAGATGACAAGCAGGGTGATTAGGACTATTAAAACATGACTCAGCTGTTGGAAAAAAGCTCAAGCTGTCACAGTGAATTTGTGGAAGCGGATCTGTTATCGCCTAATAAAGCTGACTGATGCTGATTTAGCAAACAGAGATAGACCTTTTTGTTCATGCAAGACACTTTATTAAATTCCAGGATCAGCTTTTACATCGCTCTCTTCACAGCAACCAGAACTGTCATTTAACTTTGCACAGCATGGCAATTACAACAAATCTACGTCTATACACCCTCTGCGTTGTCTCAGTGCACCAGTGCCCAGTCTTACTGTTGCTTAAGATGAACCTATTACTGTCAGATTGACATCACTTTGGATTAATGCATCTGCTAAACAATGTAACATTAATGTAACATCACCGAGCTGACAGGTGAGGGAGGAGCAGTTCGCACTTAAGGAAAACACAACAAAGTAAAGGATGCTTTCCTGGCCTGTGCAGCTAATTTCCTTCTGTTATCATTTACTGCAAATGTCCACTTTCATGGGAACTATACCGCAGTGAGCCAAGAGAGCAGCGAAGGGACGATCAATGGGGAGCTTTTCAGCTATTAAACCATCCTGCTGCTCCTGCTATGGATTAAAAAAAAACTGCTTTGTCTCATAATTAAAGAATGCCAAACGTTGTGTGAAGAGACAACTTACAAGCAGGATATTATTAGAAAACAGGCGAAGATCAGACATCCATTAAGGGACAAACACATAGGACAATGTGTCTTTGAGGCCAACCTGTCATCTTTCCCGACACAAACTTCAAAAAGCAGAGGGGATTTTGTTCCTCCCATTTCAGAGAATGATTTAGGTCAGAACAGTATTAAGTGAGTATAGGAGCAGAGCCTCTGACAATCCAGTGTCTCTGAAGTTAGAAAAGTTTGACAGGTACTGTAGAAAGAAGGTATAACTGTGATGTCTTGAGTTTGTCCACTGTGTGTGTAGTCGGTCAGGAATGATTGACAGATCTGTTGATGAACGCAGACGGCTCAGGATACCCTTTCTCTTTTGTTCCTCAGTGCAGACTCAGAGTCCTATAGCAGCTGCTGCACCCGAACTAGCTATCATAACTAACGTAACAACTTAACTCATTACTTTATAGATCATTTAAAATATCACGGCCCCTGCTTTTTTAACATGCCTATAGGTAGCACCATTCAATGAGTTGAAATGCATCAAATTTATTATTTAAAAGTGTTCAACTTGACCTCTTGAGAGCTGGCAATGAATGGCATGACATGTTGGGCCAAGAAAGACGCATCGGATGCTGTGGTGACCCCTGGTGTCACTGAGTATTGTCTGTTTAGGCCAGATCATGCATTAGGGTGTTAATTGGTGGTAATTGGTGTCTACTGGGAACACCTGGGCCCAGTGCTCCTGCTTTTGTACACTTAACAACATACGCGCTACATTATCCCTCATGCA